TATATTTTCTATGGGCACCTATATTTGTAAATGCACAAGAAAGAATGGGTCTGGAAAAGGGACCAGAATTTGAGATAGTGATCAAAACAGATTGTACCCTTATCTGATTTCAGTTAGAAAGATGATAGATAGATAGATAGATATGGATAGGTCCAGATACATTCATACACATGTATTCATACAACATCTATAACGTGAAACATTAAAGGGCCGAGGCAGTATACATTACTATCGCCCTTGGTGCAAACAGTTAACACACTCAGCCGCTAACTAAAAGGCTGAAAATCGGAGTCCACCAGAGGTGCCCCGGAAGAAAGGCCTGTGATATCCTTCTGAAAAATCAGCCATTGAAAACTCAGTGGAATACAATTCCATACATGAGGTCACCAAGAGTTGGAATCGACTCCATGGCAATTGTTTTGTTACGTTTGTTTGTTTGTTTTTTGTAAATGAGGAAACTAAAACTTAAAGATGTCTAATAATGTGTCTAAGTGCACCCAGAAAGCAGACCCCAGATCCTCCCGATCTGAGCCCAGATCTGCCTGCCCCAAAGCCTCCCCACCACCCCATCTTACTCTTGAGGCCACCCAGGAGTTGTCTGTAACAAAAGCTAGAAGAAGGGGCCTCCTTGTCCATAATGGCTGCAATGGTAGCAGCCAAATGCAATGGAGAATTGTGTTTTTGTTTTGGTTTTTAATTAATGAACCTGTTGGAATGTACCACTCAGCAGTGGAGCTGAACGGTTCCTGCTGCTCCAGCAAAACAAACAAAAATGCTTCCACACCAGCCACTCACTGCTCCAGCCTTATCTGTCCAGGGATTGTGAAAGGGACACAGACTGAATGTGCCACAGGGTACCTTCTCCAGCCAGGCTCAGTCTCCTGGCTCCCTCCTGATGGCTTGGCCACCATCACCCAGTTCATGTGCATAGACAGGACACTACCCCGTGGGAAGCCTAACTCGTCCTCACCTGGAAGGAGAAGGATTTTCAAGCCTTGAGATTTTCTGTCTCTGTTAGCTTGACTTCTCCCTGAACTCAGTGAGACAAGGTGAGTCCTTTTTTTTTTTTTTTTACTTTGGCTTATGATTTTAAGGGTCCCTTCAAGTTCTGATAGTCAAAGCCAATTGCCCTTGAGTCAATTCTGACTCATGGTAACTGCATCGAGTTTTCAATGGCTGTGAGCTTTTAGACAGAGATCACCAGGACTTCTTCCAAGGTGCCTCTGGGTGGACTTGAACCACCAACCTTTTTGTTAGCCTGTTCACCATTTGCACCACTCAAGATTCTTCTAATAGTCAAAGAACATTAGAAACATTCCCTTATTTTTCTCTATTCATACCCTTATGATGTTTAATTAAAACCCCTGGCCATTTTGGCTGTCGTCATACATTCCCAAATGCAGAAGCAACACCTATAAATGTGAACCATCCACTCTATCTCAGGCCTAGGACGGTTGCCTGCCTTAGAATACCATGGGTTTATGAAAGTGGAAGAGTTCCTGAAGAATCACATACCTAAGGAGAAGTTTAGCCCTACCAGTTAGTAGCTGGGTAGCCTTGGGAAACCACCTGTCTCAGCCGCAGTGTTTCCCATCTGGAAAATGGGAGCAATACCTATTCTTCAGGTTGCTGGGTGGATGAAAGAGACAGTAACTGGGAAGTGCTTTATCCCAGTTGAGTCTGGGAGATGTTCCTTCCTCCTCCCACCCTCCTTTAGACAACAGCAGCTCTCTCTGCACCATCCCCAAGATGCCTGGGTCTCCTCCTCAAATGCTAGGTCCTCTCTGAAGTCTGAGCCTTTTTTTTTATTTTTCTTAAGTCACAGAGCCCAGTGTCAGGGTGTGATTGTGTGTGAAAGAACGAGACAGAATTGATCTGGCTTCTTTGAAACTGGTTTCTTTGCAAAAACCACAACCTTAGATCTGATAGTGAAAGAATCCGCTGGCAGCAGCCCCTGCCAAAACAATTCAGAAATATCCAGGGACTGTCCTCCAGGGCTGGCAGCCGCCCTCTCCAATTCCCAATGGGGCTCTGGGACCAGGCCCCCAACACACCACTCCATGGATGGAAATGGGGCCAGAGAGAGGGCTCGGCATTCAGAAACAGAATTCTCCCTCTTCTCTCTCCCCAACCTTGCAGAAACAATTGCACACCCCAATTTTCAGAAAGCTCTTGGCACTGCCCACCCTTCCTGAGCTGGACAGAGCTGCTCAAGCAGGATCAGTCTAGCCAAGGCTGGGAGGCGGGGGCTTCTTCATTTCCAGCCCCCTCCCTCTCCTCCTCAGAGTCAATGTTTCATCAGGAGTTTGAGGGGCGATGACTGGTGGGGAGGGGGCCACACACATCCTAGCTGATGCCAAGTCCTTTCTTTCCCCTGCAGTGTGTTTTATAAGCCGGCATGTAGTTTATTCTTCTCCTAAACACTTGCGCTCCGTGCAGGGCCTGGAGTTGCCATAGAAACACCTTTTAACTCCTCCTCACCCAGAAGGTTGGGCCAGTCCCCAGGGCTTTTGGAGAAAAAGGCAAAAAGAGACACCTGTGGATGGGGATCTAGGGGGGGAGGGCCTTGAGGGGAACCTGCAAAGAGGCCAGGCAACATGGCACCCGGACCACGAAAAGAAAACAACCAGGAAGGTTCTGGAGTGGAAAACTGGCGGGCTGAGCATTTTTCACAGGCTACAGAATGGATGAGTGCGGTGGCCGGGGTCAAGGGGAATGGGGTCAAGGGAGAGAACAAGCAGAGCTTCAGCCCAGACTGGAAACCAAACCCTAAAGACTCTGAGCAAGGACAATCTGGAGCCACCTACTGGACGCCTGCAGGGTGCTCTCTGCAAGACAGTGGGAGGTCAAGGAGGAGCCAGGCAGCCCACATCCACACCTCCCATTTTTAAAAGGATTAGCTCATCCCCACCACTAGTGCAGTGCACCAAACCCGGGCAGAACAGTTCCGGATCTGTGCCAGGGCAATGGCGATTCTTCATTTCTTTTCATTTTTGCTTATACCACAGTGTTCTGGCCGTTGGGTATTTCCTGGTACCTTAGCTTTTCTCCAGGCAGTTTATTAAGGTGAGGGGGGACTAGGGAATAGCTGTTCTTGAACAAATAACAGAGAAATTGTTAAGTGACTTTCTGCCTCAGTCCAGACCCACAGCAAGAAACCTAAGTAGAGAGAAAGCAGAGTCCAGGGTGCCACTTGGAAGCAAGAATTGCTTGTTCCTGTTTCCAGTATTCCCTAGGGAACTTCCAAGGTGGATACCACAAAGCAAAGGACAAGGGGGGAAGGATGAGGCCCCCCTTCTCCACAAAAAAGTCCAAGTGAACACAGCCAGTCTGTTGTCCAGCAGCAAAGTCACTAGATGGCAAGTCCGTCCACTCTAATTCCACCTGTTAGCTTCTGGTCCCTATGTACCTCACTCAGCAAGAGCAGAAGCCAGTAGCAACAGCAACTCCCAACACTAGTCAGGTGGGAATGTCACCCACTGGGGTGAGAAGGGAAAGGCCATTGGAATTTAGGTGGGGGCGGTCAGGGGATGAGGGAGAATACCTTCCCAGGACACAGACAGCAGCCAGGGTTCTCCCAAGTGATGCACAAACTCAAGGCAGCCCCCAAGGAGAGGGAAAGGTGCCCATGGCAGGTCCCAGGAAACCTCCAGCAAGGGCGACCCCAGGTCACACAAACACCCTTGGCTGCCAATTAGACTGATGTCTGGTCACCACAGCCACCTTTTTGACTTCTCCTGGCTCAGCCTGGCCCACCAGCACTGTCCCTCCCAACCCAGGCTGCCCCCTGCCAGGCTCCTGCCACCTCCCCCTCACCCACAGCACACTGGTGGAGGCCCGCACCCAGGACCCAGTGGAAAATCTGCTTTCCCTTTATGACTGTACTTAAAACACATACAAGTTCCATTCTTCACCTCTGAATCGCCACCCCACACCCAGCACACACCCAGCATGCATACACACACACACACACACACACACACACAGCAGGGGTCACTAGACTGGCACGCTTTATGAGCTGGAAAGGAGGGGGAGATGGTTCACAGCTGTTCCACCTCTGGACCTCCAAACACAAGTGTCCCAAACACTTCCAAACAAGTTTCCCAGGACACTCCCAAGGCCTTTAAAACTTGTTCCACTTCTTACCCAGCCTCTCTCATCAAGACACAAAGTCTAGTTTGGAATTGGCACCATGGTGTGACCCTTGGCATTTTGGTTCTTTGGGTGACAAATCTATTTTCTGCTGCTCATTCTCCCCCTCCCCACACACATTCAAGGGGGAAAAAAAAAATAGTCTTCCAGTGAATTTTCACAGCTACATGATAAGTGAGCCCTCACACACTCCACCTCCAGCCTGCTATCAACACTCTTAAACTCGGTTCCTCCAAGGGGAGGGAGGGGAGGGTCAACCCCTGCCTTTTCTTCTCACTCCCCCCACCCCCCGCCCTAAATCCAGGGAGACTTGGCAGGCTGCTGCTCTCAGCTCAAGCAGCTCCCTTAGCACTTGCCTGAGAAACAGCAGGGCTTGCTTGCGTCTCAATGAAAAGGCTAAAACTTCAACAGTGCAGAAGACGATGCAAACTCTAGAATCCTCCAAGTGTCTCCTCCAACTTCTATGCACAAGGCTGGCAACTTTTTTTTTTTTTTTTTAACTATCCAACTTTAGTTAGCATGGCAAGTCTTAGGAAGCCTCTCCCCAACCCTTCTCCTGCACTTTCTGTGCCGCGACAGTGGACAGGAGTGTTCCAGATGTCAAAAGGACTGGTAGGGACCTCACGCCCCAAAATAAGCTGCAGGATGTTCTGAGATTGCTCTGCAGGGTATCCCCCCCTCGGCTGTGCCAGGGCCCCTGTCGGAGAAAAATTAGTCTTCCCAGCCCGCCCTAAGCCCGTTTGCAGAGAAAAAGAGAGGGGCTAGCCTTGCCATCCCAGCAGCGCCCGGGCCGCCTATAGCGCGAGAGCGGGCACCACGGGGGCTCCAGAGGGGGCCCCAGGGCTTACCAATGTCGGAGTTGCAGAAGGCGTCCTGGGGGTGGCTGGGCGAGCACGTGCACGCCTCCGCGCCCCAATCCCCCAGGCTCCAGCTGCCCAGGAGCACAACAAGCCCGAACCAAGGAGTCATTGCTGGTGCCGCCGCCGCTGAGGCTACTGCTCCTCTCTCCAAAGTTGCTGTGCGCGCCGCCCGAGGGGCTGCTGCAGCAGAGCTCGCCGCCTGGCCGAGCAGGGCAACTTTGGCCGCTGGAGCGCTGTGCCCAGACGGGACGGGACGGAGCGCGGCGAGGCTGCCTCGGGACAGGCGCACACTGGGCGGGCGGGCTCTTGGAGCGAAGGAGCAGGCGCTGGAGCAGGAGCGCAGGAGGAGAAGCTGTCCGAGCGCCGGTCCAGTGCCCGCTACCAGCTCTGCGCCGCTGCCCCGGCGGCCGAGTGATATAGCGCGGGTCTCCCAGGCACCCCCCCCATTCCGGCGCTCGCGGCCCGCCCCTCCGACCAATGGCAGAGCCGCATTACCTCATCGGCCCTCCGAAAAGGGGGCGGGGCCGGGGGCGCGGGACGCGGGGCGGGGCCGCCCCGGACAGTTCAGCTCCTTATAGGGAATAAGGCGGCTGTGGGCACGCGAGTGGGTGGGCTGGGGCGCGCCCTAGACCCGCGCTCGCCGCCTGGCCCCCGCAGCGGCGTCCCCTGAGCCTCTACTCGCCTACACCCTCGCCTCACGTCCACCCTGTCCTCCTGGGGCCTCTGACCCAAACCAGAATCAACTACTACCCACCCACCCCAGCACAGCCCCCTCCGCAGGTCAGAGCGCTCCTGTCCCTGGTGATGTTGCTGCACTGCCAGAAAGACTGGGTGAAAATGCTAGCCCTTTATCTCCTCTTGCAGGGACAGAGAGGAAAGACCAGACAGATGACCTCTCAGGTTTTCTTGGATTTGGGGAAGTCATCTAACGTTTGGAGATGGCCACATAGATGGTTGTTACCGCCGCCTCCCCTCTCTCCCAGCAAATGGGATTGTGCATTCATTCAACAAACACTGTTCCAGCGAGCAAGACAAAGCCCTTGCTCCACAGAACTTCTAGGCAATACATAGATAAACCCATGAACACATGCGATATTTTTCTATAGTGATACGTGCTATGAAGAAAACAAAAAAGTAATAGGGTAAAAATGACTGGGGAGGGCATTACTTTCAATAGGATAGTAAAATACCTCTCTGAGGAGTGGATATCCCAGCTGAGATGGGAATAAGGAGAAGGACCAGCCAGGTGGCAGTCTACAGGGAGAGAGCTCCAGGCTGAACAGCCACATGCAAAAGCCCTGAAGTCATCTGAAGAAGGCAGTGGAAAGGGAAGGAGGAGGTGGTAATGCTGCCTAGGGCAGGCAGGTTTCTGTCCTTTGGCAAGGAATTTGGGGGTGAACTGACCCAAATCTGGGGTAAATCCAGATCGTGGAGAACTATCCAGAATCCTAGACTGCTGGCTATAATGGATAATTAGCAATAACTAATACTATTAGTATCCTTTTTATGAAGTAACCTCTTGATTCTGTTTCTTTTTTTTTTTTTTTAAGTATGGTCCATACTTTATCTCCTTAAATCTCCCTGTCATCTTTCTAGGTAGAAAAACTACAAAGTATCACGCATACTTTCCAGGTGAGGAAATGGTCATAGAAAGGCGAGATGACTCCGTGACCAGAAACAGCTCATTCACTTGTACTGATTCATCTTATCCCAAAAGATAAAATTTATTTCCCGGAACTTTATTGCTGTTGTTTGATGTCAACAAAACTGAATGTTGCTGGATTCTGCACTATCTTCACAATCACTGGTATAGTCGAATCCATTGTTGTAGCCTTTATGTATTTAGAGTGACTCCAACCTAGGAGACTCACCTTCCAGCACCATATTGGACAGTATACTGTTGCACTCCATAGTTTTATCATTGGCTAATTTTCAGACATAGATCACCAGGCCTCTCTCCCTAATCTGTCTTAGTCTGGATTTTAACGACAGTTCAATCTAACACTGCAAGTGCCCTTTTGCAGCTGTGATCCTCAACCATAGTTTCCACCCTCATGTCTCTCTCCGTCTCTCCCACCTCATCCTGTTAGAGAGAGATTTGTATGTCTTTACCATGTTTGTTGTTGTTGTTTGCCGTCGAGTCGGCCCAGACTCATAGCGACCCCTCCTTGGGTTTCTGAGGCAGTATCACTACGGAAGTAGGATTGCCCAACCTTCCTTCGGAGGAGTGGCTGGTGGGTTTGAACCACCAGCCTTCTGGTTAGCAGTCTTTAGCATAGAAATGCTAAACATTGAGAACACAAAAGGGCTGGTTCTTTACTGGTCAAAAATGCATGTTCAACTGTCTTTCTCAGAAACTCCTCTATTTACAGCTCAGAGAAGTGAGATTAGGGTGACCTAGCAGAACATTTCACTGCAAATAGTATTTCCAAGAACAATGTTCAAATTCCCTTTTCCAAACGCTTAAGCATTTTAGCCATAGGGAGAGGAAGCTGGTTTCCACATTTTTCTGTCTTGTTCCCTTTCCAACCTTAAGACCCATCTCTTACCTCTAACAATAGCCTACTCTTTTCCCTCTCAGCCTTTACTCCAACATTTTCATTGTTTCCTAGAACATGAGTGTATTATTTACCCAACCAGAATCCCTGGGTCATGCAAAGAGTGCATGGGCTCAGCTGCTAATGGAAAGGCTGGAGGTTCAAGTCTGCCCAGAGGCACCTCAGAAGAAAGGCCTTGGGATACACTGCTGGAAAACCAGCCAAATGAAATCCCGTGGACACAGTTATACTCTGGGATCATCCAAACGGCGGAATCAACTCGATGGCACTGGTTTTGTTCTGTTCTGGTGTTTTGTTTTGTTTTTTTAAAGTCTCCTCCACTTCCCTAGAAATACTCTGAGGCTTGAGATCTTTGGCCACTCCTCTCCTTAGCTCTCAGAACACAAACGGGGTTCCCAGACTTGGGGGTGGATGTGTCCAGCAGCCCATGGAGTCCTAAGGCATTCAGGAGAGCGCCCCATGGGTGCTGATTGGAGGAGAGCACACTGGGGATTTGTGAGGTCACTTATCCCCATCACAGGCCCAGTCATGTGGAAGGCTTTATAAGATTTTTCCAGAAAATCCACTTTGGATAAATGTCTTACGTGATAGGGGACCTCTCTTCTCTTCTTTCTTTTAATTTTACGATTTCCTCCAAAGTGCCCATGTTTTCTTTAAGGAAAGGACTTGCCTAGAACATGGTATCTGGTTCTTGCTGAAACTTTTGCTAAACTTCAAGCAGCAGGTTTCTCATTGAAAACATCCAAAGCAACTATTACGGCAGCTCCTTAATTATGTGTGGCAACAGTCATCTGATTATATTTTCCAGCTGAAAGGCAAGGAAATTGCCTTTTGGTTTTTTTCCTCTTGCTCCCTATCCTAAGCTGGTGCCATGGACCCCAAGAGTCTTTCATTTGGGAAGTACTCCCTAATGCCTAAATTGAGGGGGATCCTCTCTACCCACCCACGTGAGGTCAGCTCAGTTCTCTCCCCACACACACACCGAGGTAGAGAAAGAGCGTGTTCCATGCACCTTCACTGAGGGGAGCTCACTTTTCCCAGTCAGTCCCTGTGGCAAGCTGATCTTGCAGCCATATACCAGGATGTCACAGTGTGCATGGACCTAATTACAGCAAAGAATTGCTTTTTCAAGGCCACTTGCTAAGCTAGATGGAGTGGACCTGGAGCTGACGGTTAGGAATGAAGACATTGGCTCTCTGGCCTTCTCTTGACAGCTAAGAACAATGATAGATTTATAAACCTGGAAAGAACTTCAGAAGTTTCAACATCTGTCTGACCTGTCATCACACCAACCAGGCTGGCCAGGTTGTCCCTTTTCTGAAACTTTTCTGGAAAATGTGACTCTAAATCTACCTCTTTCATATCAATGTATAGAGTGCTAGACTCTGTAGGAATTGTTCTTGTAAGCATATTTTGCCCCAGGATTCAAAATCGGCTAGTGGCAGAGCCAAGGATGCCTGGAAGCTACCTTTCGGAGGCCGGGCTCGCTAGAACATACACGTGGGCCTCAGTTCTCCCAGTGTGACTCAGTCATGGCACTCTGGCCGTGGAAATCTCAGGCCCTTGCTGCTCCTGGAGTCCAGCATTTCCAGATCTGTGGATGAACCAGCACGAGTCTCTGCATAGTACCCAGCACTTGGTGAGTTTGCCTCATGATAATTGCCACCCTCTGAGCTGTGCCAACACGTGGCACTTCCTGTGCTTTCCAGAGGCTCATCTCTTGTGTGTCTACTTTTTCCCCTTTCTAAATGATTCCCTGACCTTTGGATAACATTCTTCTGGACGTATCTCTGCAAAGACATACACGAAAACTTGCGTTCTGGGGGACAAAAGGGGCTGGGCTGCAGGAAAAAAGAAAAAAACACAGAAGACCTGAGATTTATTCTGAATGTTGCAGGAGAATAGTTGTATGTGTGCTTTGAACAAGTCCCTTCCCTCTCTAGGCCTTAATATCTGTGTTTCTAAGATGAAAAATGGATCTCAGTCACCTCCAGGAGCCCTCTCAGCTTGAAAAGTCCAAGATTCTGTGGGTCAGTATTACTGAAGAGGAAATCATCTTGCTGCTTAAACACGCTTAAGACAAATTGAATGTGCCCCAAACTGGAAAACATCCATCAATCTCTCAGTCATTGCTCACTGAGTTCCTACTCTGCTCTCTCCTCCAAGATGCCATGCTGAAAACAAAGAATTGCAGAGAAGATTGTGAGGGTAGAGGCATAGGAGGGTCTTGTCCTTGGTAAAGCCCTGTTGTAGGGACTTGTTTTTCTCTACTTGCCTCTTGAATTATAAGCCCTAAAAGGTCAGGAGGCATGACTTTTTGTCCCTATACTCTTTCTGAAATTCATTCAACTCCTACACGTCCTTCAGATCTCAGGTTAGACTTCACCTCCTCCAGGATGCCTCCTCTGATTCTCCTCTCCTAGTTTGAATCAAGCCTCCCCCCATGTATCCCCACAGGACACTGTGCTTTCTCTTTTCATATTTAGCTGGCTGCAATGTGATTTTCTGTTTACCGATCTGTTTCCCTTCCTGGACTGTAAGCTCCTTGAGGGCAGGGGATAGAGCGTGCTAACCAAGAGTTTAGTAGGTTGGTTGAATGGAGTTGCACAGACCCTTCCCCTTCCAAGTGTTCACAGGGGCAGGTGGTAGCTCCTTGGAGAATTCACCAAACCCTATCCCTCAGGCCAGTGCTAGGGGGCACTGTAAGCCAGCGAACACCCATTCCCCCAGCCTGTTGTCTCCACCCATCTCCCTGAGAAGCAGGAGAAGCACAATTCCACACTAGTCAGTGGGGTTTCAGTGCCTTTGAGTGGGTGAAGCCAA